ATCATCGACTGCGATGGCTCGGTCATGTGCTACGCATGCCGAAACACCGTCTACCGAGACGAGTGTTGTTCTCCGTGCCTCCTTCAGGATGGCGCAAATCGCGAGGTGGACAGCACATGACTTGGCAGAAAGGAGTGGAAGAGATCACGAAGAGTTTGGGTGTTGTTGGTATTGTGCGACTTCCAGGATGGGGTCCCCGTGACTCCGTCTGTGCTTGGCTGGAGACGTTGCAAGAAATGGCGGCTAATCGATGTCAGTGGCGTTCTTGCTGTCAGCTTCTTTCTAGATTGTCTGATTGAGCGGTTGGAGGTGTAGGCACCTCAGTAAGCTTGACATAGGCCAGCACTAGGTCCCCTCCCTCACCCACTCTTTTCTCTTCTCTTCACTGTAGGGCTTTTAATACAATTATATATATACGTAACTAGACAAACCTTATGGTTGTACGGCAGTGAAGCATCAGTGCCAACAATGATGTGTTTTTTTTTGTTGTTGTTGTTGTTGTTGCATAAAGGCTAGAAGGCGCACACCCGAACATATCGCGAGACACCTATGGTGGACACCGGGCCAAATATTAAGTAAAGCACGCCACACATAGTAAAGCTTTCTCTCGGGTCCGCCTAATGAATCGGCTTGAAGCAGCAGACCATGGTTTCAAAATGGGAATGCTCGAGTTAACGCGTCACGACTAGTGCCGGACTATCCTGACATGTCAGGTGGAGGTTACGACAGGTACCATCTTGAACAGAGTACAAAGCGACATGTTAGAAAAACCTCTCAGGCCAACGACAATCAAATTTAAGCTGAGGTTGAAAGGACAGCATCCTCGAGAGTGAACAGCCGGAATTGACGGAAAGTTACGTCGGTTGGAGGGGCGTGTAGCCAAGGGGCCTGAAGGTGGCATGCGCTGATTGGTTAGAATATGCATCAATCAGAATCAGGCATTCACTTGTGCTCATTTTGCCACATCACGAAGATTCCTGCTGCGTTATCTGATACCCTGTCCGACCCATGCAAAACAGCTGGAGCACTATTCCTTGTCCCCATTGAGACTTGTCTACCGCCACCCTTCGGGTCCTTCTGAAGATGACCCATTCGGCATACGAACACTTGAGCAACTCTCCACAAGGTACCACTTCAGTCATCGGCTAGTGGGTGACTTGAACGCTCTAAAAGCATCCTGGATGGTGATCTATGACGTTGGATCAAGTATAAAGTTGCAGCGGCGTTTAACGAAGTTGTCCTGCAGGGTGCTCGTACTCTTGTTGCACCCACCAGATACATCAGTGGTTCCAAAACGGAGCCTTGAGGAACTCTATTGGAGACAGGCGCAGGCGAAGAGCAGGTCAAGCCTATTATCAGTCATAATGATCCGTCTGATAGGAACGTCTTGGTCCAGTGTAAGAATTTCCCTTGAATCCGGTAATAATCGAGTTTGTAAGTCGGCGGAAGGTGTGCGACTCGAAAAAAGGCTTCGGATAAGTGAAGAAATACGGCATCCCTAGTCCATGGCTTGGGTTAAGCTTTCCGCGAGCACTGGCACGTTTGTCACGCAAGCGCGGTTGTTGTGTCTCNAGCACTGGCACGTTTGTCACGCAAGAGCGGTTGTTGTGTCTCATATACGTCAACGACCTTCAAGATGTTCTTACCAGTCCATGTCTACTTTTTGTGGGCGACTTGAAATACTGTAGGTCTAATGCCAGTGCCCTCCAAATGGATGTAGATGTTGCAAAGAAGTGGTCGTTGGGGTGGCGCCTCCCTCCGAATGACAAAAGAATGTCCATATGACATTTGGAGGAGACTCAGCGAATGCTTTTGTCATGCATGATGAGAAAGGGCCAGGAAACATCATGAGGATAGACGCCAAAAAGGATTTGGGTATCTGGCTCTCTTAAAACTTGTCATCCTCACTGCACCATGAGAAATCGGCCCAAAAGGCACCGGCTGTTCTGCGGATCTTCTCCCGTATTACTCGCTAGGACTTCCAAATACTCTATGGGGCCTACGTCAGACCGTTTCTTGAATGTGCCAAACATATTGTTTACTCAGGGGGCAAGAATGATGGGACCCTCACTGACAGCGTCCAGCTGCTAAGAAAACTCCCCCGGCCTTAAAACCGTCGACCGTGAGCCACATCCCGTGGTGCTTGGCCTCTTTTCACCCGGGGTATCTTCGCCTCCGTGGAGACCTAATTCTTACTTGTGCCCTGTTTGAACAAGGTTTGGCCAACAGGTTTCTCACAGCCGACCCAGCTAACACACGGTGGGAACATGGTGAAGGGATTTTCAAACTCAGAGCGCACGAATTCATCGGGCAAAATTTTTTCTCACCTCAGGTATAGGCTGTGCGGAATAACCTCCCTCCGACCGTTGCCTACCCTCCTCCTATAAACCGGTTCAGAGCACTATTAGACACCTATTTAGGTGAGTCCTCGCACTGGTCAGCATACTGGTCCGCGCTGACAGCGTAAACAGCAATGCTACACCCTTTTACTTGTGCCTTTCAGGTGAACGACAGCCGCTGAACGAGAACAAAACTAACCCGGAAGACTGGACAAAAGCCCCGATACCGTGTATAAATCCGTGAATTAGTGAACCGGCGAGCTATGCTGCCTGATACAGCACCGGATGATCGGTCAAGGTTCGATGCTTCTTTGGCTGAGTTTTATTGTGTTTCAGCTGCCTTAACTCCCATTCTACCGTAAGTGGGTATTATCGGAAGCATTGCACGTTGGCGAACAAGGGTGTATCTACCAGTACCTGCGAACCTGTCTCTAATACTCATGGCTGTGTTTAACGGACCGGTGCGCCAACAAAGCGTTTTCTAAAGCTTCCTTGAAAACTGTTGAAAGGTTGACGCGTACAAAGGCGTTAACATATGAATCCGTGAATCCGTGAAACTAAAGCTTGGAAAGTACTTAGCAGAACGCCAGAGTGCTCATGCCATCTCGGAGGTGCTGGTACTAAAATATTTCATACGCTCAGAATGAGATGATAGACAGAATTGATGAACGACGCAGTAAGTTACACCCTCGAAGCACCTACCTCACACGAAAAGCGCACGCAATACAGATGTAAGTAGTCTATCCCGTAGCGCGACACGTTGGGCTTGCTGGCGTGCAGCAATAACGCTCTTTTTGAGCGAGTAGGAGGCGGGTGGTTCATAACTTTCCATTCCTAAGCAGTGTCCTCCGCAAACTTCAAGAAGGCAAGCTATTCCGAAATGTCGCACGTGACCTTTGTATAAAGTGGGTGGAATTGCTGACGAAACAGCACGCTGATCCGTACGAAATTCGCGCGCCCGAGCCATTCACTACTTTCCGCCAACCTGAACGTACTGCTTCCCGTTGATAAGGTGCTTATAGAGGGGAGGAGTTGGTCAGCTGTTAAATGCTCCAAAAGTTTCTGCCAGAGGAGTTTATCGTTTTAATCGAATACACTACATTCTGTCGTCCCAGCTTTCAGAGGCTGGTGATGGTGACAAGGTCCCCTGTCCGCGAAAGACCCATTTGTACTGTATGCGGACTGATTAGCCTAGCACAGAAACGCTCAATAATACCAATTAGCTTTTGTTCCAGCACTTTCAGCAAAACGCAAATGCAGGAAGTTGAACAGAGTTGTGGTGAATCATCATCTTAGACTGGCATTGGAGCCAGTGCAGTCCTGGCAGACCTTACAAAATTGTTTGACCTCAGAGAGTCACCTGAAGCTATAAGGCTCATCAAGATATAAAGCGGGTCTTTAGCACACATGGCGTTTATCTTACTTCAATTAGTATTCTCCATAATCGTGGGCGCTGAACGATCGGCAAATAGAAGCATATGAGCTACACCGGATGGAGCAAAACGGTAGGTGTACGATTGGTGCTAGAGACAAATCAGACGGAGTAGAGGGCTGGCCCCATCGCTGTTTATTGGGAAGGGGTAGGCAATCAGAATGATAAAGTGTTTCCCATTTACGTTTGAGTTGGCAACATGGTTCAGCTTAAACCGATGAAATGATGTGCGGTTGGTCGCATAATCGTTCAGAAGATTCTCTACAGCGAAAAAACTGGCGGTTTTAGGTGGTTGGAGCTCAAAGTTGTGAAGCAGTAGTAAGCTCACAGCTAGGTTACGGCCGACTGACGAACATGCAGATTGGAGGTGAACGCCCATTAGCGAAAAAATTATGCCCGTGCATAAACAGCTCCCAAAATCTGTCAGAAACAACAAAGCCGTTAGAGGTGCTTGTTGAAAAAAAACAAGAGTGACTTGGATAGGAGTGCGGGCCGATAACAGGAGGCTAAGACGGAGAGTATTACCAAAAACATGAAAGTAGTTCCACTCGGTGACATGCTGGAGGGGGGAAGATGAAACCAAACCAAACTAGAGGTAGCACGAAAAACAGCTGAGGTAGAAAAAATAATTTAAGGCAGAACTGCTGCCGAAGCACGATATTGAGACGTCTGGTTGTCTCACGTTGGCACATTGGATGTTTCATATTGGCAACTGAGCAAAAGCAAGTCAGGATGGAAGAGGAAGATGATGCACGCCGCAGGCTATTGACACACTCAAATTGAGTTCGCCGAAACTATAGGGTTTTCGAAGTTGCTATTTTAATGGGAAGTTAGTCTAATCAATTAGCACCTTCTCGTGACATGTTGCACGTAGCATTTTGTTTAAGTGAGCAAAATGTCAAGGTCATTGACCATCGCCGATTTGGATTTTTTACCGGTTAACGCGACGTAAAACACGAAATCGCACTTTAGCATATTTTGGTGTTCTTCGGTGTTCCTG